TATGACCAATGTCCTATGTTCATAATGGTCATAAATGTCATGTTTACCAATTTGTTTTTAGTTATTTTAATCCCTCTACATTAGGGATGCACAATGGGGCACAACTATTAGCTGCCAAATAATTGTTTCTCAAATCATTTAAAACTCTACATAAATTAAGTAGTAGTAAGAATTGTATTTTTCAAACGTCATGCAAAATATGAACAATAAACAAGATAAAAGCAACACACACGCACACACAACACAAGCACAGCACACACAACACAAGCACAACACACGCAACACAAGACACAGACCCAAACAGCAGCTGCAAAAAAGAGTAGTGTTGAAACGTGAGGTTTTCTTTGCTTGAACTAAAGTTACCGTGACAGTGGAGAAATCTTTTACGACAGCGCTGTGAAAGCCACAGAATGGACACTTCCTCGGCCCAGTAGTTTATGACCAGTGTCGGGAGTAATGTGCGTATTGCGTAACATTGCATCCTAAGTCCAAATCAAATAGTTTTGTTTATATCCACAGGAAAACATATCTGCTCCAATAGTATTTGCCTAGTGTTGTTCCTTTCTGGTAGAAGACGGCTGAAGCTGAAGCAGGCACTACGTGGACTATAGTAAATTTTACAGATGGACAGACCATTATTTACAGTTTGTAATGCAGTAGTTGTGTTATGCTGTACAATTCAGAGACATTTTTAGTGTAGTGACACATTACTTTGAAATAACAGTAACAAGTCACACATCATGGTTTATGTTTTTAGGTAACTTGCTCAACACTGTTTATGACGCGCTTCACATAATGATAATGTAATGCTGACTGAAAATGAGGCATCAGTCCACTAAAGTGACAGGAAACATTAGCCTTTAGCTTATTAACAAATAGTACTATGTTCAACGACATTTATGGACTTTATCAACCTTTATAGACATTGATCATCTGCCCCTTATGGACCAATGGCTCTATGTGTTTGTTATCAGTGAATTTGTTGTGTCTGAACGGTATGATTCTCTGATCTGTGTTGGCAAATCAACGGTTTTGTAAAGTCCACCGATATAACTACTGTTGGGCTCAAGGGTTATACAACAATAAA